TTTAGCGCTATAACCCGAGGCTTTCACAGCAAACCAGAATTTATTTTGAGGCCTCTCAGGGTCAGCTTTCAAGTCACGTGATTTTCGTGGCCTACACAACTCTTTTCACTTGAAAACAAGTGTGACGTCGTGAATTCTCTAACAATAGGAAAAAAAGAAGGCTCTAGAAAGAGCGGTGCTTGGCTTTCCCTGCGGCTCCAAGCGGTGCCAGCACCCAGCGGACTGTGTGGACCTGGGGTGGTCTCCAGCCTCAGGCAGACACGGCCCTTCGGCTTTTCTCCAGTCACTTCAATTCTGCCTGACTGCCTGGCTCTCTCCCCTCCTCGCCTGCCCGCACGCTGCCCCCACCCCTGCCCGGGCTCCCTCTGCCCATCAGAACCCGGGTCAAGCTCCCGTCCCTTCTGCCCTGCCGGCTGCCCCAACTGCGCCCTGACCGCCTACTGCGCTGGCATGACCGGGGCCACCCTGGCAGCTGATCCGTCTGGAGGGCAGCAGCAGGGCCGAATGAGAACCACGGAAACCTCCCTGCCCTTTGACCCAACTTACGGGAATCTCCTACCCTCAGGGAAACAATGCAAAATATAGAGAAAGTTTATAGAGTCGGGCATGGGAGAGCCCTGGTTAGAATCCAGCAGTTCCTATACTGGAGCACGCAACAGGGTCAAGGTAATCCCTTTCAGCTGCCTGCTGCTGGAGCCAGGGCTTTGCATTTGCGTTTTGTCATGGAATTTGAAAGCCTCGCAAGTAATTATGGTACCAAATCTTGGGCTCCATGCCCTCCCCAGGGCGGGCCCAGTCGAAGAAGTTCCAGGTTACTCACACCCTTGAGCTGCCAGCTAGGCCCAGGGCGGCTGCCATGCGGTAGTTCTTCAAGGACAATGTTTACGTGTTGCTCAGAACAGGCAATTATGAAAGGTTGCTTTAATGAGTCCCCCTGAGCATTGGGAAGAATCACTTGAACCTGGGAGACAGGGCAGGGGTCACAGTGAGGCAAGATCACGCCACTGCACTCCAGCCTGGACAACAGAGTGAGACTCTGTCTCAGAAAAAAAAAAAAAGAAAGAAAATAAAAGAAAAGAAGAAATATCTATTGATAGAATTTTTTAAAGAATATTTCTTTAAATATTTATATTTCTATGGACATATATATGAACCCATAAAAGTAATACACGGGCCGGGTGTGGTGGCTCAAGCTTGTAATCCCAGCACTTTGGGAGGCCGAGACAGGCGGATCACGAGGTCAGGAGATCGAGACCATCCTGACTAACACGGTGAAACCCCGTCTCTACTAAAAAATACAAAAAAAACTAGCCGGGCAAGGTGACGGGCACCTGTAGTCCCAGTTGCTTGGGAGGCTGAGGCAGGAGAGTGGCGTAAATCCGGGAGGCGGAGCTTGCAGTGAGGAAAAAAAAAAAAGTAATACACGGCCGGGTGCGGTGGCACACGCCTGCAATCCCAGCACTTTGGAAGGCCCAGGCGGGAGTATCACTTGAGCCCAGGAGTTCGAGACCAGCCTGGACTACGCAGGAAAACCTTATCGCTACCAAAAATACAAAAATTAGCAGCATGTGGTGGTGCACACCTGTGGTCCCAGATATTTGGGAGGCTGATTTGGGAGGATCACTTGAGGCCAGCAGGTCAAGGCTGCAGTGAGCAACAATCACAGCACTGCACTCCAGCCTGGGCGGCAGAGCAAGGCCCTGTCTCAAAAAAATAAAATAGGGGCTGGGCGTGGTGGCTCACACCTGTAATCTCAGCACTTTGGGAGGCTGAGGCAGGTGAATCACCTGAGGTCAGGAGTTCAGGACCAGCCTGGCCAACATGGTGAAACCTTGTCTCTACTAAAAATACAAAAATTAGCTGGGCATGGTAGTACACGCCTGTAATACCAGATACTTTGGAGGCTGAGGCAGGAGAATCACTTTAACCTGGGAGGCGGAGGTTGCAGTGAGCCGAGATTGCACCACTGCACTGCAGCCTGGGTGACAGAGCGAGACTCTATCTCTAAATTAATACATAAATAAGGCTGGGTGCGGTGGCTCACGCCTGTAATCCCAGCACTTTGGGAGGCCGGGAGGCCAAGAGGCCAAGGCAGTCGGATCACGAGGTCAGGAGTTCGAGACCAGCCTGGCCAAGAGACCAGCCTGGCCAATATGGTGAAACCCCGTCTCTAATAAAAATACAAAAATTAGCTGGGCACGGTGGCGGGCGCCTGTAATCTCAGCTACTCAGGAGGCTGAGGCAAGAGAATTGCTTGAACCCGGGAGGTGGAGGTTGCAGTGAGCTGAAGATAGCGCCATTGCACTCCAGCCTGGGTGACAGAGCGAGACTCCGACTCAAATAAATAAATAAATAAATAAAATCCAACCCCAGCAAGCTATTCATTCAAGGTTCCCTCAGTGGGGTGTATCTGGCAAGAAAATTCCTTCAAGTATGCTGATAAATTTGGCTCCTTGAATGATGCTTCCTTGGGCTAGGAAATCCAGCATTAGGCAAACTGCCATACCAAGTTGCCCAACTTGGTGAAACCCTGTCTCTACTAAAAATACAAAAATTAGCCAGGTGTGGTGGTGAGCGCCTGTAATCTCAGCTACTGGGGAGGCTGAGGCAGGACAATTGCTTGAACCCAGGAGGTGGAGGTTG